GTTTATTAGGCAAAGTTAGATGAATATTTATTCAAAGAACAATGAGGTATTTCGTTTCGATACGTATCGAGATTGAATATTTTTTCAAGATCTGACTACATATATACATTGCACGTTTTTATAATAATTTCATTTTATCATTGAGCAACGTCATCAACAAGTACCAATAGTACATCATCAAAAACTTTCACGACTACAAAGTCGACATGTTCAAGTATGTTCATATTATTAGCGACATGAGTAAAACCAGCGTGTTAGTTCTTTCACTAAAATCTATCGAATTAGCTCCAGACAACAGCAATGACTAGTTCGATTTCAGTCGTATGAGAAATAAGTTTTCATTTAATACAATATAGTTATACAAGTAAAGTGTTTCTTTGTACAGTTAAAATATGAACTATCTCTTTTCTAAGCAAAAACCATCATTTTGTTTTTGGGATTACTCCTATGAAATTTCGTCTTTAAAATAAAATAAAATGCTTCAAAGAAACGACATCTGCTCTTATCTCTTGAAACGTGTAGTATTATCTAGTTTGAATTTTATCCTAATGACAATTATCTTGATAATGATCATTGTTTTTCTTCAAAAGTTGTTCCTAATAATAACTGAAACATTTACATTCAGTTCATCTATTTTTATTAATCAAGTTAAATATACGTACTCTTTTCTCTCAGTGTAAGCAGACCACTCTTCAATGGGTATGCACCAGATCAGTCCGACTGAGTGTGGATGCTCTCTGTAGTCGTATTCACTTCGACGCACACCAACAGACAGCCATTCACATTCACGTACACAGCTATACTCACACAATAATAATGCCCTATCAAAATAATACTGAGTCACTCCATCAATTACAGATAGACTAACTGGTTATTCAGTATCGCAAGATATTCCCCACCGGATTCATGTTGATGGACCCGCCAGAACTAAGAATACTGTATATCTACTCTCTAAAGTTTAGAAGATTTGAATGCTGTTAACTATTTTAGTCAACTTGATTTCGCTTGATAATATGACTTCTTCGTACCATATTTGGCTAATTCGGAAACTTCATCTTATATTTGATCACCTGCCTATTTTTGTAATCTTACTCACATTCATTCTCTAAGTTGTTGTATATAATTAAGTATGAGAAAAATCATTGAGGACCCTAAACGAAGACTTTTGCTAAAGTTTACCGGAAAAGTTATTTTGGGACTGACACAAAATCTTTGGAATAACTGCAGACACAACAACATCGATTAGTAAAAATGCATAATTAGTTCTGTTTATGGATATCAGCTTCTTATGAATACTGTCTCTGTTTGATTTTCAGAAACGACAACTCAAAACCCTCTATTAGGATCTTTCAATAACAGTTCTACACCACGTGATAATTGGACATTGTGTACCTTCATGTATACGGCTGTTTACATCGGGAACTTAAACGCTTCAGTTCTCCTTCGTATCAACCACTCAATACGCTTGGTATTTGGATGATGTATTTGTGCGTAACTCAGCGTCAACAGAATTGCTAACAAATGGCAATTTCGAAAATGCTTCACCACTGTATGGATGGACATCTGGATATTCTGGTTCGTGCGCATCCTCGGTTGGTTTATCTCATAGCAGTGACCATTCATGCAGTCAATCCTACGGTAACTGGTGTAACGGTACCGCTTGGATTGAACAATCGTTTTCCTCCACCAGTGGTGATTTCTACACTGTTATTTTTTTGGTTTTGTCTCGATCATCTCAATTCAGGCATAGGCACCGGCGCACAGATGAATGTAACTATTACTTGATTATAATCTTAAGCCATGCCTACTGATGATGAAAATGTGAGCTTTCACAACGCATTAATATTGTACATAACAGAACAACCTGAGAAATCCAACATCACAGTTTTTTACTTCATGAATTGTATTTTTTGAAATATGTTCCAATCTACAAAATATATTGCACGCAGAAAAAAACTTTCAAAAAAAAGGAACTTTTATTTGATATTGAATGTGGTTCATGAGAGACAAGAAAAGAATTTTCTTTGATGATGCACTCATATTCCCATCTTCAGTGACCAAAATATCAAAAATAGATATCCATATAACTGTCAAAGATGTGTACATGAAAAGATCTTTATCTAAAAAATCATTTTTTTTCTATCTATAGCACGACGAACAAATGATTGATTAGTTTCATTACCATTAGACAGTATACAAAACGATTAGATACGGTTTAGATTACATATCGTTCCATATTTTTTTACGAAATGGAATTTGATCAAGAAGATAATTTATTAGTAATATGATAATCAAAAGCAACGTTTTCTAATGATCAGAAACTAGGAATACTCTTGTTTCAAATAATATTTGTTCAAAAAAGAACTAATATTTCATATACTGTGCACGTCAAAAGTCTCGCACCACTTTTTTCTTTTGAGCCGTGTATTAAAACTATCCAACATAATTAAATTTTTTTTTATCAATAGAAAGTAGAGATCGAGTACTATATGTATACATCTGTTTAAAAAATAAAACTCTTCAATATAGAATAAAATAAAATAAAATAAAACAAACTTTTCTACGACAAGAGAATCGGCATGAAAAACTACAAAATCAGGTTGTTTTTATTAGTTTATGAAGAATGATGATGATGATTTAATGGAAATGGACAATCTTTATATCAGAGACGTCCATCGCGGCGCTGCCGCGGCGCTGCCGCGATGGCCTGTGGCGACAGCGGCAGCGGCAGGTTTTTTAAAAAATCACCGCGGCAGCGGCGCGGTAGCGGTAGATTTTTTAAAAATCATCGCGGCAGCGGCGCGGTAGCGGCAGGTTTTTTAAAAGACCATCGCGGCAGCGGCAGGATTTTTTTGGGGAACATTGAAAAACTGCATGAATTTAATAGAATTTCAGGGTTTACCAATGAAACACCCCGAGACTGAATGAATCTGATGGTCTAGTACCAATATCTCTGGTCAAATATAGTCGCAGCAGTGAAATTAGAAACACTTTTTTGTAAACCGCCGCGGCAGCGGCGCGGCGGCGGCACATTTATTTTATAATTCATCGCGGCAGCGGCGCGGCAACGTTTTTTTTATAAGCCATCGCGGCGCGGCAGCGCCGCGGCAACATTTTTTTATAAACCGTCGCGGCGCGGCTGCGGTGCGGCAGCTTTTTTTTTCTAAGGCCGCGGCGCGGCAGCGGCAGATTTTCAGCCGCGATGGACATCTCTGCTTTATATACATCTTGGCCATATGTAATACCACAATGATCATAATAATGTTTTATGTTGTCTGTTCTTGTATTAAACCACTCATTCGTCATAGTTGTTGCCAAAGTTTCTTCACTAAGTGAGGAATGTTGTCTCACTCGTTCTTTCCATTCATGAAACAAAGAATTCTCCAGTGGACTGATGCGCTTCGCTGCTTGAGTAGGCATAACCAATATTTCTACTGATTTCATGCATTCGAAATTACCAAGTGCTTCTTTAATTTTAGAGATGTTATGAATATGTGATTTATCTAGTACTGAATATATAGGACAATAATCAAGTGTACTGATTGAAGGACATAAGATATTTTCGATGAAATCAATCAACATATTGCTGTTGATGCCTTTGACATTTTTTGTTTTTCTATCTGCTGGTGAATAAATAATTGATGGAAGTATTTGATCACCAACTACAGCAGCAATCATATCATAACGAGCAGCATATGATGATGAATCCGTAACAATTACATATGGATTTTCACCTGGTGCAACGAGTGTTGTTCTCGGTGCTTCATTTATTTTAATATGAGTTTCATCAAGAAAGATTATTTTTTTGTTTGATATTCGTTGAAGTTTACGACGTAATTTTGCTATGCTTTCAGAAGAAGCACTGCTTACTATAAACAAAACAAGTAACAAAATAGAAAGGGGTGGACTGGGTTTAACATGTATACTTATCTATACTAACTTTCTTTAGCAGTACGCTTGATCATTTTCCTCGATTTGATACCATTCTTCTTCCCGTAACGTTGAACTGTTCGAGTAGAAATATTCAATTTTGTTTTTTGATGAATCAAATCCATGATTTTACTATATTTAATGGAACGTGACATACGATTATGAGAACAAATAACTCGTGTAATAAATTGATCAATTTCTTCTTGATTCAATATTTGCGGTCTTCCCGAACGCATTTGTTGTTGTAATGATAAAATTGTTCCATCATATCTATCAAACCACCGCTTTACTGTTGCATGATCACCATGAATGTGAAAAAACTTGGCTACAAAACGGAAACTAAGGTTTGGCTGATTTTGTAAATAATATTCAATAACACGTTGCTTGAATGAAGCATCATAATATCGAGATAAATTATTCATATTGAAATATTCATCAACAAGTCAATAAAAAAAAAACAAATTCGATCGAGTTCAATGGCTTTTTTCTCAAATCATATAAGAACGGAACAAACCAATTATAGACCGTTATTTACTATCGAATGGTAATCAAACATTTGGTGAATTTTCGTGATAATTCATGATAGGTGGTGCTACAATTATAATTAAGGTGCTCTCATGGAAACAAGTGCTGAATGGTTGATAAAATCGAACGATCAGTTTAATTTGTGCGCTTGAACGACTAAAAATTGTAAGACAACCTGATTTTGGAGTTTTTCATGCCAGACCTCTTGTCGTAGAAAAGTTTGATTTATTTTATTTCATTCTACATTCAAGAGTTTTATTTTTTAAACAGATGTATACATATAGTACTCGATCTCTACTTTCTATTGATAAAAAAAAATTTAATTATATTGGATAGCTTTAATACACGGCTCAAAAGAAAAAAGTGGTGCGAGACTTTTGACGTGCACAGTATTTCGTGACTCATTTCCCATTTCATTTAAGTCAGATTTTGACTTTGGTAATAAAAGTGAAAAAATTAATCCAATTGTAGCAAGAAGAGCACCAAAGAGAGATGGTGGACCAGGAATATCACGACTTAACATTGATGAATATATTGGTTTGACATTAATACTCTTTGTTGTTAAATTTGATTGTGTTTTTTGTTAATGGTAATGGTGATGAATAATCTAAATCAACATTTAATAAATAAAATGTAAATCCAAACAAAGCTGGACCAAGACCATTACATAAACCATGTACATCATTAACCATACCTTGAACAAGACCTAAACAAAAATAAATAATTATTTTCAAATTATACCTTTTTTTTACCTTGTTGATTGTCTTTTGCACAAACAGAAACCCACATAATCCTTGAATTAAAATTTTAGATTTTACTTTTAAATTTATTTTATTTTACCAATTTGATGTAGCTATAACAAATGCTGCTAATTGAACAATTTGAAAAAATAATCCAACCATTATAGTTTCTTTTGCACCGAAATATTTTTGTAAACATGCCAAAAGAAGAGTCTAAACATATTCCAATACTCATTAAATAAACAATAAGAAAGACAGTCATTATTTACTTGAGCAATACATGAAAGAATACGAATAAATGCAATAAAACAAGCAATTTCATCTTCCGAGAAACCAAGCATCTATAGAAATATACATAAATAAAACAAATTATTCATATATAAATACTTACTAATCGGAGATAAACAAAAAAACATGAATACTATCCAGCTTCTAGAAAACAAGAAAAACTAAAATACTTGCGTTCGTGCTTGCTTTGATTTATTTTTTTTGTCTTATCAATCAATGGCAACGAATAGTGAAAATTCACCTGGTCATGAAACAGTTGTTATCGACAATGATGAAGTAATAAATGTTGAGAGTAATCGAACGACTACTCATATCAAAAGTAAAGTTCTTTTTTTCGAAGAATAATGAACGTGTTCTCATTGATAATAAATCTTTAATTCAAAAACTAAAACGAATATTTTATTATTAGAAAAAGGTGTTAAAGGTAGTTTTGTTACCGTCAATCGATTTAAACACTTTGGTTTCATCAAGCGGTAATTATGATCCTTTTTTTTGATATTTAATTACATTTATTTTCCAGTAAAGATAAAACTGAATGGCCTGATATTTTCTCACGAGAAGCTTCAATAATTGATTAGGTTCGTCCAAAGAAATTTTTCGTGGCTGATACCTGCAGATTTGACATCATGAAAAGTGAGTTATTTAACTCTAGTCACAATATAAATAATATCTCATTGTCCTACAGCTCCTCGTGGTTATGAAGCTATCAATATTAATATTATCGAGAGAAATATCAATTCCATTCGTAAGTTACCTAAAATTCCGAAGAACAAAGAGACCGATTCAAAACAAACAGAAATATCTGGTGAACTATTCCAGTCGACATTGTAAATACGACTCAATTTATTCTTGACTTGATGTATATTAAATTGTATTCTATTGTAGGGCTATGCTTTTTCGTGAAGCTTTGAAGAAAAAGTAAATCCAGTTGATCGTCGATTGATTTATAACAACAACATAATCAATATGACATTTGTTAAGATTTTTAACAGCTAAACAAAAGAATTTAAAAAAAAAAGATCTTGTATTGAAGAAAATTGTAAAAAAACAATTTATCTTTTACTTAATAAAATACTTAATAAAAAAAGAAGTTTTTCTCATAAAGACTTATTTGTTTTAATTCATACATTGAACTAAATAAAAGAAAATCTATACAAAACAAATGAGAATTTAGTCGAGCAATTATTTCAAGGGGGAAACAACTGACTTTATGACTTAAATGATTTAAATGATCTAAATGATCTACATGTGATCTACGTGATCTAAATGACTTTAAAGTCATAAAAGTCAATTGTTTTCCTCTTCGATTCTGCTTATATTCACTGTGACTGTTGAGTCTCTGTTAGGCTACTGGAACAAGGAAATAATTTTCTATGGTTTATCTGTTATCGATGATCATAAACAAGAAAATACTTAATACTTGAGATCGAGATTGCAACGTCATCTAATCTATTATTATGTACATAATATTTTTGAAGCTCAAAATATCGTCGTCAAGACAAACGACGAGTATAAAAATAATTAGACATTATTGTTTTTTTGATTTTGACTAGTCTATTCACTCCAAATGCATGTCATTCTCACAAAAATGTGAATATTCAAAGAAACTTCGTGAAAAATTCGTGTATTCTACAGAAACTGAGTGGTGCGAAAATAATCGGCATCAAAGGATCAAAATCCAAGTACGGACGCTGTTCAGTCTTATATTTTAGTCAGAGAAAACTAATTGAGGCTAAGAAAATTCTGATAAGATTCGTGACCGTAATCTATATACCGAGAGTCATGATTGTTTTACTGGGATTCTGGTGTATTCGTAATTATTTATAAAAATATTGAACCACCAAAACTGAGGTTTGAAACGTTAATTTAAGGTACGTCTGATGGACTTGATAACACTCGAAAACTTTGAGCTAGTAATATTATTATTTTTTCAAGATATTACGTATTCATGTAAATTCCGTTTACGTGCTAGGTTGTTGATAAATAATTATATTTTGAAGATTCAATATCAGAGCAAAAGAACATTAAAGTTCAGTTAATACTTTCAGAAAGCTACAAGTAGTCAAAAAAGTAACCGGACACCTACGTATTTTTTCGTGTCTCTTAGTTTGTGAAGCAGAAACAAGAGATATTATTTTTCTTTTTTAGCCAATAGATAGTCCTCACTTTATACTGGATTATCTATAAAAATAAGTAATTTTGATTATCATCTCGAATTACAGGAAGCTTTCCTCACAAAAATGCCTGATTTTTCAGTACGCCCAGAGCAAGACTCTTCTATAAAAGTTACTGTTACTTTCAAAATTATGTCAACGGATAGGGCTAGCTTTTCTCGTTCTAGTGTTGTGCATATGGTATAATTTCGATGTTGAAAAAACGAACACCTTCGTATGAAAAATAGAAGAGTCTTGCTTTGGACGTACTGAAAAATCAGGCATTTTTGTGAGAAAAACTTCCTGTAATTCGAGATGATAATCAAAATTACTTATTTTTATAGAGAATCTACTATGAAGTGAGGACTATCTACTGACGAAAGAAGAAAAGTAATATCTTGTGTTTCTACCTCGAAAATCAAGATACATAAGTATCCGAATACTTTTGTGACTACCTATATATGAACTACCAGATTTCTGTTTCAACAAAATTATTGATGTACAATTCACAAACCAACATTCCCGATACGAATACGCACAAAATTCATCAAATAAGTTATAACACTTGACCTACAGGATGAGGTCACGCATAGGAATGAATTTAGGTTTCTAAGGCAGGTGGAATGATGAGTAAAAATGACTTTGAAGATCCATTAGATGTAGTACAACCTTGCTTTTCGTTCGTTGTTGCTGGTAAATGTTTTTGACAGATGTAACCAGACATGATCTGAAGTTTTCCATATCGAAGACTGATTCTTTTTATAGACCATTACACGCTTAAAAACTTTAATGAAATGTCTTAGAGTGATTCTAAGCCTATCATTTTATACTATCAAAAACTAGCTATATCGTATGTATATTTTGATAGAATGATTGTTATAGTACCTTATTCGAAACATATTTCGATATATTCACATATCAACAGATTTTAGATAAGTATTAACTAGCATCCTCTTTCGAATAGTCTGAGTTATTTCAATGCCTTTTCATGACTTTCGTAATCTAAGTGATCTAAATGATCTAAATGATCTAAAATGATCTAAATGACTTTAAGTCACAGAAGTCAGATATTTCCCCCTTGAATTATTTCCATTTCTAAATAGAATTGTTTGTGTTTAAAGGTTTTAATCATTAGTTTGTTTCACTTTTTTCAGATTTTCATTATTTTCAAATAAATAATAAAAATATTAATTAAATTTTTTGTTCAAAAAAGACTACTAATCTTTCGATTTTCTAAAGTTTCTTACTTCGTATCGAGTATATCTTCACTAGTTTTAACGGAGATTTGGCTCGAAAGAAACTTTTGCATTGTTTATCTCACCAAGTTTAGAGATATACATGTGTCTCACTAAGTAGAAGCTGTACTTGGTGTATACACACCCCTAATCTACATGAGAAGTTTGTTTTACGAAAAAATGTCGAAGCTAAAAAGAAGATCTATATCTCAAAGAAATGTCGAGATAGCAAAGAGAATGAGAGAAAGAAGAGCTAACGATGAATTTTGTTTGATGGACAATAGAAGACGAGCAAAATCTAAAAAAATTGCACGACAAGATGATGAATTTAAAACTGAAGAAAACAAAAAAAGAGCAGAAGCTCTTAAAATTAAACGTGAAGAGGAAGAATACAAAGAGGAAGAAAGAAGAAGAAATGCATTGAGAATACAGAATAATAGAGATAAATACAAAAATAACTTTGATGTCATGAAATCAAATTATGAGTTAAAAATAAAAGAAGGACCTACTCATATTTGTAGCTGTTGTGGTGGTTTATGGTTTGAGTATTCAATCAGAGAATTTACAGTTGAGATGTTAACAAATAAAGGATTAAAAAAAGAATTTATCGATACAGTTTGTTATCTCAAAAATACAATCATCAAATTATGTGTCACATGCAGAAAGGACATCATGTTGAATAAAGTACCTAATCTCTGTCTATCTAATGGTTTAGCATTCTATGAAATACCGGATTGTTTAAAAACCTTAACTGAATTAGAAGAAAGATTAATATCACCGAGAATTCCTTTTATGGTAATTCGAAGTTTAGGTGATTCTAAACAATTTGGTCTCAAAGGTAACCTTGTAAATGTTCCGATGAATGTTGACACAAACGTTGCAATCTTACCCAGAACTTTTAGTGATACTCAAACAATTCAATTAAAACTCATGAGACAAATGAAAAATAAAAATGCTTTTATGTACGAAGCAATTCGAACAAAAGTCGTACATACAGCTGTTAAATATCTTGTTGAACAAGAACTTTATAAAGATGAAGGGATTGTTATATCTAATGATTGGCTAAATCAGCACTTCAGCGAAAGAGAAAATTTTATCGTTAATGATGAAGATAAAAAAATTAATGAGAATGAAAACACAAAAGGTTCTGACGATGATGATAACTGGAATGAGTGCGATGACGAGCCAATCAATCCATGAGCTACTGAAACATTATTAAATGATGAAACTACCGATCAAAATGATACCGGTATTAAATTTGCTCCAGCTGAGAATAACAGACCGATATCTATTTTGATGGGCTTGAAAGTTGACAAGTTGACATTTCCGAAAATTTATTGTGGAAAACAACGAAAAACTAAAGAAAATACTAAATTAACTTATGCTAAAATTCCTAAGTCAGAGCTACAAATGTTTGATAGAAGATGTGGTAGGGTATCGAAACTATTTTTTACATATAAGAAACTCCAAACAAGAAAGTTTTGTGACGCTATTTCAATAAATTTAAGAAAAACAAAAAATACGAGCAATGTAACAGTTACGCAAATGCTCAATAGAGATTATGTGAATGGTCTAATACACAATAATGATGCTTTTGCATTTTTGAGATGTGATCGATCTTCACCAGCATTCTTGGAACTAAAAAAAAAAGAAGCTATGGCAATGATTAGGCAGTTAGGATGTGCAACCATTTTTCTAACATTATCGGCAGCAGAAAAAAAATGGTCAGAACTAATTGTACTATTGATTCAAGTGTTGGAAAATAAAGTAATAACATTACTGGAAGCAGAAAACATGAGCTATGAAAAGAAATGTGATTTGATAAGAAATGATCCTGTAACATGCGTTCGCTATTTTGAACATAGATTAAAATGTTTATGGGAAATATTATCGGCTCTTTATGCTCCATTTCAAGGCTATGAATTAGAAGATAAATATGTCAGAGTTAAATTCCAAGTCCGTGGCTCGCCACATATTCATGCTCTATTATGGTTAAAAAAATGCTCCGAAATACGACAAAGATAAACCTGAGTCGATTGAAAGATGTACGGAATTTATTGATAAACTAATTTCGGTTAACTCTAAGCCAACTGAATTTTCTGAAGATCTTATAAGTTTGCAACGTCATAAGCACTCAGATACCTGTAAAAAACATGTGAAAGATGGTATTAAATGTCGTTTTAGTATTCCATATTTTCCGATGAGAAAAACGATGATTCTAGAGCCATTTAGTAATGATGAGAAGTTAAGTAAAAAGGAACGTGAGAAGATAAGTAAAATAGACAGAATGTAATTAAAAAAACTAGAAAAGATATTAAGAGACACGAATAATTCATTAACTTTTGATGAATTCTTGAAACATATCGATATGAACGAAGAGGAGTATATTAAAATGATTCGAGTCGAATTAAAAAAAGCAAAGTTATTCTTGAAACGTGCTCCAAATGAAATCAGAATCAATGCATACAATCCAATGATAATGTCATTGCACAAAGCAAATATGGACATTCAGTTCATTCTTGATCCTTAGGCGTGCTTAATGTACTGTGTTGATTACATCAGCAAATCTGAAAATGGAATGTCTAAACTTTTAAGAGAAGCATTGAATGAGCTAAAAAAAAGGGCAATAACACAGTCAAAGAACGTCTTAGAGTCATTGCAAATAAGTTTTTGAATTCGAGTGAAATTTCAGCACAAGAAGCTGTTTATCAAATATTAAGTATTCCGCTTTCAATCAGCAGTAGAAGCACTGTATTCATCAATACCAACAGGCCTGAAAATAGAATTTCTATGCTCAAATCAGATGAAATTCTTGAAAAATTGGAGCCTGATTCAAAAGATGTTTTTGTTGAAGGCTTGATTGATATGTATATCAATCGATCTGATGAAATGAAAAATGTCTGTTTAGCTGATTTTGCATCGTTATATAATATATCAAAGAAAAAAACAGGCTATACTGAAATTATAGAAAATTCTGATAATGAAGATATCATCGACGATGAAATTAATGACAAGAATACTGCTTTGAAGATGAAAGATGAAAAAGGTTCGATAAAAAAGAGGACAAATAAAAAAATAATAAGATACAGAAATTTTAAGTTACATCAGGATGTTGAAAATTATTACAGAGAGCAGCTGATGCTATTTCTGCCATGGAGTAATGAGGAAAAAGATCTTATTTATATAAATCATGAAGAGACATTTGAATTGCATAAAGATTTGATTCGACAGAAAAGATCTGAATATGTTCATCGTGAAGCCAATGAATTTGAGCAAGCTTTTGAAGAGCATATGGAAAGAGAAATTGAAAATAATATCGATGATACAAATGTTGAATATGATCAAGATAAGAATGAATTTCTCATTTATGAAATAGGAAATAATGAAGGCGATATCTTTGTTGAAATGGGACTCAATACTCGAACTGAAAAAGTTGAACATTTTAATGCTCCTAAAATAATACCAGATACTGAATATCAGGAACTGATGAGAAGCCTCAATAATAATCAAAGAAGATATACTTTAAATGTGATGAATTTGATAAAAAAATGGAGATAAGCAATTTTTTCATTTTATTAATGGCGGTGCAGGTGTTGGCAAAAGTACTTTGATCAAAGCAGTATATCAGTCGATACTGAGATTTTATAGTTCTCTTCCTGGATCTAATCCAGAAACTATTCGTACTGCAATCTGTGCGCCAACTGGCAAAGCAGCAGCACTAATTGATGGAATGACGTTGCATTCATTTTTAAGTTTACCAGTTAATCAATGCAAACATAAACTCGTTAAACTAGACAGTGACATTTCAAATAGAATTGGACTGAAATTGAAAGATCTACAATTACTAATCATAGACGAAATATCAATGGTTGGTTTTACAATGTTTCAACACATCAATGCACGTTTGCAGCAAATAATGAAGTCCAAAAAACCATTTGGCGGAGTATCAGTCATAGTTTTGGGCGATTTCAATCAATTAAGACCAGTTGGTGATAAATACATATTCCAATTTAACAATTCATACAATGCTTTAGTAGATAGTTCACTATGGTCACTGTTTGAATTGTTCGAATTGACAGAAATAATGAGACAAAAAGATGATAAGACTTTCACTATTGCATTAAGTAATATTGCGAAAGGTACAATGACGCTTGATGATATTGATTTATTGAAGTCACAAATTGTTTCAAACGAAAATTTGGAAATGATGAGAGATGTAATAAGAATATTTCGAAGTAATGCTGAAGTTGATGCATATAATACAAAAATATTGGCCAGTCTTAATACTGAAGGTGCAATCGCTAATGCTTATGATTTTTGTGTTGGTGATGGACTTGCATCAATAAGAGAAAAAGTTTTAAACAGCGTAAAGAATCTGAAAACAACTGAAACATACGGTTTACCACTTAAAATTGATTTGAAAGTGGACGCTAAGTATATGATGACAGTGAATATTGACATTGAAGATGGATTAGTAAATGGCGCCTGTGGAAAATTGATAATGATTGATTATGGAAAACTTCAAAAGACAAATGAGACAGTACCATGTCGACTATGGATTAAATTTAGTGAGAAGAAGACTGGAAGAAAAGCTAGAGCTAACTTTCACAATGTAATGCGAAAATAGAAATATAGATCTCAGTCTTACACCAATTGAACCAGTAACACGGCAAATAAATACAAGATCAACTAATTTCAAAGTAGAACGTAAACAGTTTCCTCTAGTTCCTTGTGAAGCAATGCCTATATATAAAAGTCAAGGTGGTACTTATGAAAAAGTCGTTGTCAATCTAAAGAAAGGGATGACACGATCTGAATTATATGTCTCTTGCAGTCGTGCAACAAAATCAAGTGGTTTATATTTAATTGGCGATTTTGTTCCACCAAAACCACCTGAACCTAATGATGCAGTAGCGATGATGTTTAAAAACATGAGATCTGAGCGAATGCTGAAATTTTCACTTGAATTTCCTGAAGAATCTCAAGAAGAAAGATTTTCTATTATGTTTCATAATGTACAATCATTGAATAAACGTATTTCAAATATTAAATTTGACAAAACATTTTTGTCTTCTTCCATGATAAGTCTTGTTGAAACATGGACAATACCAAGTGACAATTTGGAAATTGAAGGTTTCAAGATAGTTCACAGGCGTGATTGTGATGATGTACGAAAACCATTTGGTCAAATCATTTATTTAAAAAATGATTTGAAGTACGAAAATATCACCGAAAGATATGAATATTCAGGCAAAAACCATATTGAATATTCTTCAATAAAAATTGATGATATTTGTATAATTTCCGTTTACAATTCACCGAATTCATCATTCGATATCTTAAAACGGCATATTAATGAAGCTATAACTATTTCAAAAGGATTTTGTGAAAATACAATTGTCGTTGGTGATTTTAATATAAATTTGAAGATCAAAATCAATAACAAATTTATTGAATATATGGAATCATTCGGACTTAATTAGAATAATATACTAAATAGAGATTCAATTAATGCAAAAACGCAGATTGACTATTGCTTCACTAATGTGAAAGACTTAAAATCTGATTATTTTGAAAGTCTTACAAGTTTTCATAAACCAATATGGATAAGAAAACATAAAGTTTTGACTAAGTTTCATTTTGATGAAACCGAAGATATTCATACAAATGTACCTTTTAATATCGAAGATATTATAACTGATGATCAATCTGACACGGTGGAAGTCGATGAGAAATTCGTTTTTGCATGTCATGAAACAGTCGATAAAAACGAACAAATTTACATAGATATGTCTTTCCATTTGGAAGATCTCAAAGTTAATGAGCCATCTGATATGATGGAAATTGAATAAAAATCTTCTTCCGAAAACTATGAAATCATTGATTCAAACTCAAGGAAGATTCTTGATCACTTTCTTCTTGCACTAGATTTTAATAATACCACAGAGACTAATCAAATTTCAAGTCAAGCTCAAATAATCGATAATTTAATTGAAAAATCACCATTTATAACTATGAATAATAAAGACCAATCCGTCCGATTAAAATAGAAAACAGAATATTCTGTTCAAGCATTCGATTTTGTTTATGCTAGAACATGCACGACTGCGGATGGCAATTGTTTATATAGTTCTCTTTCCATAATAAATATTGGATCTAAAAAACTAACACATTCGATGAGATTGTTGGCAGTTAATGCAATGATCAATAATAGCGATTATTTCCAAACACTTTGTAAAGTATTGTAGTATTCATTTGAGGAACAGTTGAAAAGAACCACTATGGATACAATATGGGGTGGAGAAGTTCAAATTCAAGCGCTTTCTATGGCTCTATCTCATCCTATCTATTCATATGTTCAGTTTAACAGTGATCCAAAAAATAGACATTATATTTCATCGAATATTAGTTTATAGGAACTAGTCGATCGATTTATTAAAGGAACAGCAGGTGGTCATCTAAAATATATAGGATACAAATCCGATATGAATAAACTAGGATTTTGTATTTACTATAATGGTAGTCATTATGATACTCTTTTACCTTTTCGAGATAATCCTCAACAATTTGTACCGCACTTTGACATAATTAACATGAGTTTATAAAAAGAAACACGATTCAGCTAAAGCAAAGAAGTTTATGCGAATGAATAAAACTTCCGGAACTAACTCCTCGCCACGTCCTACGGGACAAAAAGAGGGCATCCGCAGGGCCTAAGAGGCAGTTCCTTAGTGTGCTCAAGGATGAGTATTTTAGACAGTTTAATAATAAAAACTAACTATCTTGAGTGTATGCTCGGCATTTTAACCTTGTCTCGTGAACGGTTTGGCTCTTTGAGCTAAAGAAGGTCTCAATTGGACAGAAAACAGTTTAATCTATAAATTCACCACATCCAAGTGAGTAAGTTATGAGATAAAAAAGTGATATAAGCCAAAAACTGCGTAAATTCAAGGAAATGGCATACTTTGAGAGTCGGTATTTTGGACTTTTCTCACGTGATGCACTAGGCCTTGTATTTATTTTTTTCTGTAAGACATAGATCTCATCAAGATACATCCCTTGTCACTAAATTGCACGGAGAAAATACAGGCGTGCTAAGTTAGCATGGATCACACTGTATGCGACCCTATCCGGTGACCACTGACTGACTCTACTCTCAGAGTAATATAATATCTTTAGAAATCACAGAAATTGAGTTCAGATTCGTGTTCAGCTTGGAAAACTGGATAAGAAGAGTTATTTTTGAATGGATTTGTGTTTGTATTTAGCGGGATTACAATCGTAAGCAACCTCATGAATTTATAAGAGATATATGATAGATACAGGCATCAGTATTTTCCTAATAAATCACCAATATGAATAGCTATCGAGTTCTGGTTTTTACCTTCCGATAATCCTTTTGACTAGCTACAAAACCAGGCATTTGGGAAACCCCAGAACTACTGGTCATCCGAGACATATCTAGGCAATCTGGTTTCTGGATGCAGTTTTTGTGCATTTTGAGACCTTTTTCAGGCGATGTTCTGTTAGAAACCTATGATTTGGTTCAAAACTAATATCAGATTCGGAATCAGCGTTAAAAATTGAGTCGATTTATATATGTTGTGAATAATTATGAGAAATATATTTTTTTTGAAAAAAATCTCTGTACCCCCTCAGGGATGGCCTCGTCAATAATGACAATTTTTTCGATAACTCAGCCATTTCTTGACGGATCCTTCTCATCTTCGAACTCGAGCGAGATATTGATGAGACAATTCTGTGCACAAAATTTCAGCTCAATCGAATGTAATTGTGAAGAGTTATCGTGTGAACGGACGGTCGGACACACTGACCGATTCTAGAGTGTACTCACTTTTTGAATACACAAAAACCAATTCAGATAAATCTGTTATTTCTTTTAAATTAGTTTAGTTTATATTCTCAAATTATTGACAAATGTAAAGAACAATATATTATGATTAACAAAACAAATACATCATAATGTAATTATCATTGAAATATGTAAATATCGAATTCTCTTATTTAACATACATTAATTTGGTTGTTTTTCTTTAATGATAAAACAAGTGAATCATGTGCTAATTTAACAATGACTATTCGAACGAATTATTACATGTTTATGTATGATTTTTCTTTTTTTTGTTGAATGCTTCAGGAAAAAAACGTTATTTCTTATTAGGCAAGAACGCATCTTGATGAAAATCGAACTAAAACTGCAAATCAATTGAAAAATCAATGTCGAATCAAGATAATGGTTTGTGAGTTTTTAAAAATAACATATTATAATATTCTTTTTCTGATCTAGCATCTGCTGTCGAATCACTTATTGTTAATGATAAAAATAAACTTATTGAATTGAATAAAAAAACGTTATCGAGAAATAATTTCTTTTGATTATTTAAAAGAAACGATTGAAATAATTGCATACATGTATCATAAGTAAAGCTTTTGTAAATTATATAGAAAAAATCCAAGTAGATTATGAAGATATTATTTAAACTTGATGACCTTGAAAAATAATTAGCTAACATACAAGCATCAATTGTTGAACTCGACGCCTAGTATAGTCATATAAGTAAAAGATAGAAAAAAAGAAAATATATTACTATAGAAATTACAATATTTAGATAATCATCGAAATTAATAACACAAAAATAATTCATTTTTTTTCTTTTTCTTGTTTTTCTTCTGGATAAGGAAAAACTTATATTTATTTATTTTTTCTTTATTCATCATTTAGAATTATGTCATGTTTATTTTGATTTCATTAAAACAAAAACTCACACAAGATCCAGTGGTTTTGATAAAATGTGTCAATATCATAAAGCATTGTCACCTTTTAATAAAGATTATAAGAATATATGTGATTGCAGCATAAGAACTCGATGTGAAAATGTTTGTTTTATTTTGATGAAATAATGATAATAGTCTTTATCAATTTTAAGTATTACTCTTCATTCATGTGTTTTATCACCATGAGAAACCGATTTACAAGAAATTCAATAACAAATTAGTCATACAATTGATTTTTTATATATTTGTCAAAGTAGCACAAAATTTTAAAAAACAAATAATAAAGAAAAAGATGATGATATATATGAAACATGTCATGTATTTGATAAATATGGTATTGGTTATATTAGTGTTACTAAACTGAAACATTCCATGCTTTCATTGAATAAATAACTTACAGAAGAAGTTCACGAATTAATACATAAAGCTGATATTGATGTTAATGAACAGTTTGTATCTAACTAACTAGAAACTTTAAAAAAAAAATAATTTCATTGATTTTTCTATTTTCATTTAGATGCAACTGCAAAGATTTTATATGTATTTTAACAAATAAAAAATGCTAAAATATGATCGAATTTTTCGTCAATGATAAAATGAACAAAAAATAATATACATTCCGTCTGATAATAAGTCCAATTGCTTTTCTATGTAATCTCTATAATTCATACATTTCTCTTTTTTTTCTTTAATGTTCTATTTTAGCAATATCTATCATTCAACATATTTCTTTTTTCATTTTTGCTTTTTTTTCTTTCTTTTTTTGTCTTGATCGATTGGATATGAATGATAAAATAGTGAAATTATTTATTATTGTATTTAATTATTCAATATCTATCTGATGATGATAATACTACAAGGAAAAAACCTCAAAGTATCATATATTTATGTTATTTTACATCCTTTCATATTTAGTTCGATTTTCTTGATTTATTTCATTTAGTGATGTATTGTAATACATTTTCATAATTATATAACTGTATAATAAACGATAAAATAAAGCATGATAATATTGTTCTAGTTTCTTTGTCATAGTAGAAGCGACTAGTATTAAACTTCATAGTTATTTTAGGACTAAGTCAGTAAAATGATTTGAGAACTTCTGATATCTCCTTAATATGTATATAGGCAAACGAAGAGAGAAGTGAGTCGTTATTTTGTCTTTTTTTCTTTCTCTCTCTGTCATTAATATTGGAGAAAAGTTGCACATGTTTCAGCCACTTATTATTCTTTTCTTATCACATACTTGCTATGCAAATCATGCTATTGTCCGAATTAATACGATTTTTATTTTACTTGCTATCTATCATCATACAAGATCTCCTCTCTTCTCTCTCCACACAACTACTCTCCATCGGTCATGAACGAGTGATCAACATTTTTTTCGAGTGTTGGCTTTGTCAATGGCGCATAATCCACATAGTATTGCGAATACAAATACATACTCCACACGCTTCACCGATTTGTGCCGTAGAAGAGGTATTTTTCTTCAATATTTCCATCTTTCACGATGAATAGATGTAAAATGAATAGAGCATTGTTGTGAAGAGTCACAAATTCATTTTTTGTATTAATAATATCTCTCGATATCCTAGTGAAATCCGATGACCGCTGCCTCCTCATATGAAGGGATGATATTACAGCAAAAGAAACACATATGAAAATGTACACACACATGGTTCTTCTT